AGTGAGACAACCAAAGGAAGCTAAGCAAGAAAATCATTCCTAAACTCAATCTGAGGAGCAGGTTTCAAAATGCAGGGTCGAGGCGCAAACAATTGTCTCGAGCCATGCTAGACGTACTGAGAGTGCTTCACAGGGGCTTTACAGATAATACACCATAAGGGGTTTAATTTTTGGCCATTTTTATTCGGGGGGAACACCGTTTGTGAGTTATCTGGCTGGGTACCCGGCTTTTGTACTGGAGGAAAAATTGAGTGTCTCAATCCATAAAAAGCATGGTCTACTGCTCAAGTGTCAATCACTTGAATTCCGTTGATGCTTAAGATTCCACGACATCGGATTGTGATTGATTTTACTAACAAATCTTGATGCAGCATTTTTGTTGCACTACTCAATATTCTTTTACTTGCCAATTTCCATTTTTCTTTCACCACCAGATTTAAAAGAAAATTATAAGACCCAAATTTTTTTATAAAAAAATAAATAAATAACTTAACCCCGCTCCCACCTAACCCTTACAGATAAAGAAGATTACCCGTAATAAGGTGCTTGGAGATGATGCACCATGTGAAATTGGCCCAGCCTTCCCACCATCAAGTTCGTACAGTTGTCCTGTAAATAACAATTTTATGGTATATATGAATCCTGAAGGAAAATTGCTCTAAATAAAGAACCAAGTGCATGTTTGGGAAAAGATATAATCAGTTTAAATTATAAATAAAGAAACAAGTGGTGGCAAGTGGGTAGTATTTGTAGATTTCACAAAATGTATGGATAAAAAGTAAGTTTGACCGATTATTTTTATAAATTAAGTAGGTGCCAAACATACAATAAATAAGTTGGATTTATTTATTCCAAACTAACACAAATGAGCCTATGCATGCATCGGATTCACTCGGAAAAAAAAGGTTGCAAGTTTGAAAACTTACACCCATGTCTATGCTCAAATGTATTAAACATGACAATGCATTCAATTTTAAGCCAACATTTGGGAAGAAATGGTTGATAAGTTGATAGTACTTGTGGATTCATTGGAATATGCAAGTGGAAATGAAGTTTGAAGACTAATAAATGACTTATAAATTTTGCCCCACAGGCTAAATCAGCAGCAGAGCCACATGGGAAATTGTGGGCCCATGTGATATTAGTTTTCTGATTGTATGGGTCGTATCTGGGATTCATGGCTTCATTTGATATCCATTTTTTCACTCCCCATCCCACCCCCCACAAAAAGAAAAAGAAAAACAACACACACCTCACAGAGGTCCTAAACAGAACTCGTTTATTAATTAAAAGGAGGACAATGCTGGGTGTGTCTGGCACTTACAAGGGTCTTATCGACCCCTCACATGAGGTGGGGTCTGTTTTTTTTTTTTTTAGGGCATTGGGGCCCGCGTGGGGTCGACCCAAGTGAGGGGTCAGTAAGACCCCTATGAACAAAGCCCTGTACACAGGGCTTTGTCCTTAAAAGGAATACAAGTTGCACTACCCATTAGCCAGTATAAATCACTCACAGAACTTCATTGTGGAATGTTAATGCAACCACCTAGAGAAATATTTCTCGCTCTCTCTCTCTCTCTCACACACACACACACAGAGTCTATGTAGCCATGTTACTGAAATCCTAAGTTTACTGCTCCAAGGATGAAACAAAAATGTCTGTCAAATTTTATAAATTTTTCAAGTTCAAAAAGACCTGGATTACTTTGTCCCTTTAACTCACATAGACTAACTTCAAACATCCATTATAGACTTCTCTTTCTCAATCCTTGTATGTACACACACTGTACGCCCTATTATTTCCCTGGACTCTTTATACTTCACTCGGCATCTGTTTTCTTTCTTATTATACTAATCCCACCAACACTTGCAAATTTCTTATTCAAAACATGTAATTTATAACATTTATAAATTAGTATTGGAATACGATAAGGCAATAGTATAGCTAACCAAATAGCAATTAAATAAAGGAGGCACTTTATTATAGTTGATGAGATTCTACTGGAACATTCATCTTGAAGCAAATTGTTTGATTAATTGCTCCATGCCTTGGCTTATTCAAGATAGTATTGCCATCAATTACTGCTCAGGCATGGTAGCACCTGCATGATTGAACTTGTATTCACTTTGTCTTCTCCTCTTTTGTTAACTTTCTGTATTAGAACATTAATACATAATGAGAAGCTTTGCTAAGATCATTAGATTGATAGGGAAAAGAAATCCAGACTATCCCCCTCCCCCACCACAGTGGATATCCTGACCACACCACTCTTTAACAAACGTGTACCAAGCGGCCAACAGGAAAGCTTCCTGTAGACAGCATAATTTCAAATGAATTCATTGTCCCTCATTGCTTATTTATCCCAGAGTTTCTAATACGTAATGAGATGTTTTGCCAAGATCATTAAATTGACGGGAAAAAAATCCAGATTATCCCCCTCCCCCTACCACAGTGGATATCCGGACCACAACACTCTTTTAAACAAACATGCAACAAGCAGCCAACAGGAAAGCTTCCTGTAGACAGCATAATATCAAATGAATCCATTGTCCCTCACTGCTTATTTATCCCCGAGGTAAGCAATCTCAAGCGCGCATCAATATCCATGTTAATATCCTTATGGACAGTAAAGTAGGAACACAGTTTCATAATGAAGCTCACAAAAGGCTTCTGAAAAGCTCTAAAAAAAGGGAGTTAGCACAAAATAGGTTTTTAAAAATCATTACTAATCTAAACGCCTTAAAGTACTGTAGAAAATTGAATACACAAAAAATTGGACAGGTAAGTAACATACTTCCGTAATATCAAGGTAACACAAATGAGCAGGTTAAGATGGATGTACAGTCATACTAAAATAGATAAAACTAGAAATGAGATCACACACCAACAAACAGAGATGGCAGCAGTCGAGGATAAATTAAGGGAAGGATGTCTTAAATGATTGGGAAGAGCCTAAGAAGCTCACATAAGATAGAGTAGTAAAATCCAGTACAGGTGTACAGCGCATTAGAACAGGAAAAGCTATTAAAGTTAAAATAGAATGAGCTGTTCAAGAATATTTAATTCTTTATTTAGTTCTTTCACAAGTGATAAATAGAATGATAAAAATTATTTATGCAGCTGTCCTCAGTACTCATGAGAATAAAACTAAGCTTCTTGTTATCATGTTGCAGAATATAAAAAACATATTCAAGCTCAAAAACCTATTAGTAAGAACTAATCTTACAGTCTCTCTCTCATGCAACATGATGCCCATACAAGATAAATTAACTCCCAAATGTTTATCTACGTTTCATTACGAGGATACAGTAGATATCACTTCACATAAAAAAATTAAAGTAATTATTCCTATTTGAAGTTCCATGGAATTATATATTACAATCACTGCATTTGTATGGGGAGGGTAGAAGAGAGAGCGAAAGACTTACCATCTACGCATGTGAAGCAGATGAAGTGTGTGTCGACATTATCCAAAGCCTGTAAAGAGAACTAGATTAGATCACAAATTTCCAACTATTCATGAAAAATAAACTTGATAAAACTAAACTGATTGAATAACGAGATTGCAACCAAATTTTTTATACCACCCTTATGATAATACGAAATCTGATAAAAATGTCTAAAATTTTGAAAAAAGTTACAATACTTCACAGGCCAACTAGCTTCCTTGAGCTATACTGAAACATTAAAGTACCATTTACAATTATTGATTATTATATGTTACTGTCAGTTCTTGGTGAAATTAGGAACACAGGGAACCCCGTCAAAAGGTGACAAGGAGAAAACTGAAATTTAGGTATGATCACTGGGAATGCTGCATGGGTCTTGGTTCCAACATTAGGACTGGGCATGGAGAAATATATATATATATATATATATATAGTTTCATGATTATACACGTCACTACTACCGGAGACTGAATAATAAAAATATATATATATTCCCCTTTTATCTTGTTTCATGATTATACAGGTCACTACTACCGGAGACTGAAGAATAAAGTAGCAGTGGAAGAAAACAGATGTGTTTGGATGTTCCCTATAGGCATATGTTCAACACAAACTGCCACAACTTACTAGTTTAGATAAGATCCTACCCTCCTAGACATCAACCTGGCAAAGTGACTGAATCAATTGCACTAGCTTAAGAATTGAAGCATTGAGTCAACATGAACTAAGGGTACAAAATTAAATGGGAAAAGAAATACAGTTCGACCTAAAAGATGCTATACTTTTCCATGCGTAATATCTTAAATTTAATCATTGAGATGGTTCTCAAGATATAAAACCAGGTTAAGAATTCAATGTACGAATCAGTAAGTCTATAACACTAAGAGTTTTAGTTGATAGTTACTATATAACATGCAAAATGTATTCACGATATTGAAAGGGTTCATTTCTTTACGGGCTTAACACTATCCAATGCAAAAACCTAGAGGACTGGTGTTATTCTTCTCGAAGGAAATACTCACCAAAAATATCACTTGATGCCCAATGGCTACTATAATCTTTTCTATTAGTGGCGCCAGGCACGATAGCGATTATCTTGCGGGCTTATTGCAACAGACGATTCACAAAAAAAAAAAAAAAAAAAAAAAAAAAAAAAACGTAAACGAAAGATTTATAACACCAAAACGCAAAGAAACTTCTTTGAAATTCACTCAATATTATTAAAATTTCAGAATTACGAAAATTAACCCACAAGCCGGGTTAAATAGTTAAGAAAATACGAAATTATGGAAATTTTACCAAAAATAGCAAAACTCCGAAAATCATCAAAATAAAATACGGAATAAAAGAAGTAACTTGCCAAAAATTTGTCTCAAATTGGATTAATCAACTAGAAAAAGGCAAACGAAATATTACAATAAATGGAAAAAATAACTAAAATTTGAAATTTGAAGGGTTGATGACCACAGAGCAGAGCTGAGTGACCACGACTTGAGCGCCCAAAAGAGCTTTTCGGATTGGCTTCATAATTGCGATTCTGATAATTGTAGTCAAAGTTATGACTATATTATCAAAAACGTGCCCAAATTGCCCCAATCAAGGAAGGTATTACAATACTTTCCATCTTTGCGCCGATTCACCATCTTATGGTATCTCAACGCCATCAACATGCTATCTGACATCTCGGCCTCACTTGATTCAGAACCTCCAACATCAGTCATCCCGGGTTGAAAATAACTCGCCATCGAGTTTACATTAGCTTCATCAGACTCCAAAAAACAAGAACTGAGATGTTTCCTATTAAAGACATTGAAAGTCTTCAACGGCTACGAAGATGCAACTTGTAAGCATTATCATTAATCTTCTGTAGCACCCCAAAGGTCCAATCTTTCGCTCCTTAAGCTTATTATACTCCCCAACTGGAAAACAATCACGAATTAACACTGCCCAAACAAAATCACCAACGTCAAAAAGCACCTAACGACGATGGTTATCTACTTAAGTCTTGTACTTAGCATTACTCTCTTGAATGGATAACTTCACCTACCCATGGATACCCCGAAGATGTTCTGTCACCTCATTTGCCTTGTGATTGACACGACCCACATGTGGAATAGAGGTTAAGTCATGTACTCTGGACGGTCCGACCATAGACAACATCAAATGGACTCAACCCCGTGGTTCTGTTCTTCGACCGATTATAAGCAAATTCTCCCTGAAGCAATGCCAAATCTCACTGCTTCGATTTAGTCCCTGCCAAACTCTTCAAAAGGTTTCCCAAACTCCAATTCACTAGCTCGGTCTGACCATGTGTCTGGGGGTGGCAAGCACTACTAAAATTCAACTTCGTTCCCAGTTTTTCCCACAAATTTCTCTATAAAATGACTCATGAACTTGGTGTTACGATCAAAAGTAATTGATTTGGGAACACCATGTAAATGCACAATCTCTTTGAACTAAAGATGAGCAATCCTAGTAGCATTCATTGTCTTCTGACAAGCTACAAAATGAGATATCTTTGAAAATCAGTCAACCACAACACGAATAGAATCCATTGCCCGTTGTGTATGGGGTAAGCCTAACACAAAATCCATGCTGACATAAAACCATGGGGCTCAGGTATAGGTAAAGGCATGTACAATCCGGCATTAGTTAGAGCTCCTTTGGACTGCTGACACACATACCACCACTTTACATAATGTGTCATGTCACTGCTCAATTTGGGCCAATAATAATCAAAAGAAACCAAAGCCAACGTTTTATCTCACCCAAAATGTCCGTCATTTTGAAGTTCACTAAGAATCTGCTGCCTCATTGAACAATCCAGGATACACAACTGTAATCCACGAAACAGATAACCGTTATGCAAAACAAAATCATGTCATTGATTATCAGTTATCTCTAGAATTATCTTCCCGAATGAAGGATCTACAACATACATATCAGGAAATGCCTCAAATCCTACAACTCTGATGCTCATGGTGGTGAGAAGTAATGTACGACGACTTAATGCATCTGCGACACGATTCAGATTTGCTGCTTGATACATTAGTGCAAATGTAAACTCCTGCAAGTACGCCACCCACTTTGCATGTCATCCACTCAGCTTGTATTGACTATTGATATACTTCAGGGCCTTATGATCAACGACAGGAATGAACTCTCTCTGTACCAGGTAATGACGCAAATGCAGGGTCTGAATTATGGCATAAAACTCCAGATCATAGGTGGAATAGTTCTTCTTTGATCTTGAAAACTTTTCACTGGAAAAGGCTGTTGAACGTCCCTTCTGACTCAGAACACCACCAATGCCAACTCTAGACGCATCACGGTTTACTTCGAACACCTTTTCAAAATCAAAAAGTACCAAAACGGGACCTCTGTCATTTTTTGCTTAACCAATTGAAAGCGAGTCTCTACCTCCTCGATCCACTGAAATCACGTCCTTTAAGACATTTCTATGATAGGAACAATTAGAGTGCTGGAATTTCTGATGAACCGGTGGTAGTAGGACACCAATATATGGAAACTTCTGACATCGTGTTAAGTCTTTAGTTTGGGCCAATTCAAAATCGTCTCTACTTTTGATTGAACTAGATGAACACCATCAGCGGACACAACAAAATATTAAAAAAAAAAAAGTTACAGAGGTTGTGAAGAACGCTTATTCTGATTGATGAAAAGGCGCTCTATCCTCAACTTATCAAAGACAGCATGGAGGTGATCAAAATGTGACTCCCACGTCGAACTATAAATGAGGATGTCATCAAATTAGACTATTACAAACTTCTCTGTTATCAACACACATTTGCCAAGACCCATATTCTTCAGCACCAGTAGAGCAGGAACTGCACATGGAATCATACTCTCACGAATGTACTACCACCTATTGCTGTAACTCTTCAGCTTCCTTGGGGATGAGGCGACATGCTGGTCAGTTAGGCAAACTTGACCCCGGAATAAGGTCGATATAATGTTGAATATCCCTCATAGGCGGTAACCTCGGAGGAAGATCATCTGGCATCAGGTCAGAGAACCCGTTAGCAGCTGCTGCACTTCTGCCGGTAAGTCTAAATCCTCATTTACTACATTGTTTTCACAAGGTAGTCTAGCATAGGCCACATATTCATGTCCAATCTCAACTAAGAATCTAAACATAGAAAGCAGGTTGGTATTATTAACTACCGGGGCAAGGATGGTTTCTTCCCTTCGAGGAGCCTACATAACCTTCTTTCCTTTGATGCTAAGAAAATATGTATTTTTCTCCATCATGAATAATACTACGATTATACTACCAATGTCGTCCAAACAATACATGACAGGCATCCATAGACACGACATCAGATCGAGCATCATCAAAATATTTCATGTTGATTGAAAATGACACCAAACACCATTTTCTACTGTTACCTCACTGCCTTTATTCAACCACGATAACTTGTACGGCTTTGGATGATGATCTATCTTTAGTTACAGTTTCTGGACAGCCTCTTCGAATACTACATTCTGACAATTGACACTGCCAATGATCAACTTGCAGACTTTATTGGCAACTATACAGGTCGTGTGAAAAACATTGGTCCTCAACTAATCGTCCCCTGAATCGCCCTTGGGAGTCAGCGATCTTTGCAAATGACTAAAGTCTCCTGGCCATCTCCATACAGCACGTCTTCATCTCTAGCATCATCATATATAGGCTTTCCAATCTCCTCGAATTCGTCTACCATATCTTCTTCAATCAGGAGATTTTTATTCTTCTGACCAGTTTGCTTTCTGCAATCAGTCGCCCTATGTCCCTAATCACCACATCTGAAACACTTAACACCTGACCTAGAATTGTCCCGATATAGCTAATAGACGGGACAAGGTTCTTGAGGGCGAACTGGCAAACTATTTTCACCTTTGACAACTGGCCTCTCGTGCAGTTGCTTTTCCACGGCAAGTGCACGCTGGTATGCTTAGGAAACGGTCCACAATGAATGAAGGCTGAAAAAATCCTGCCTGTCAACTACAAGATTTGAGTATAGCTGAAAGGAAAGAAGAGATATTTCATCTTTTTATTCATCTTTTCCTAATCAGTGATTTTGGACTTGCCTTGCCGCTCTCGTGAACGCCTCAATTGTTCCCACCTTGCAGAAGCTCTGCCTTTGATTTGATGACGACTAATTTAACATTGACACGATCTAGGACCTCCTTATACTCAAAGATTCGCTCAACTTCACTTAGCCAATCAATAAAACCTTCGACATGTAACCTACCAAAGAACTCGGGCACATCCACTCTGAAATCGAGATCTCCATGGCAATCCTCCCGTTCACGATGCTCCTAGACTCAAGCACGATTGTAATACAGGTTTTCAAAACTGGTATCAAAATCATGACCCCCCACTTCATGATTACCGATCTCCTGTTTTACCAGACGTTGGGTTAACTCCGCAACTTGTCTGTAAATCTTCAGTCATCACATCCTGAACATTACGATCATGGCGTGGGACTTCCTCAATCGGAACCTGTCCGCGATGACCACGACTACGTCCACCAACCATTGTAACTAATGGAATTCGCCCCAGAAAGATGTTGACGCTTTGATATCAATTGGCGTTGAGCAGAATAGTGATTATTTTGCAGGCTTGTTGCAATAAACGATTCATAGAGAACGTAAACAAAATATTAACGCCAAAACACAAAGAAACTTCTCTGAAATTCACTCAATATTATTAAAACTCCAGAATTACGAAAATAACTCACAAGCAGGGTTAAATAACTGGGAAAATACGAAATTATGGGAATTTTACCAAAAATAGCAAACTCCCGAAAATCACACCAAAATAAAGTATAGAATAAAAGAAAGTAACTTACCAAAAATTTAGCTCAAATTGGATTCCTAATCGACTAGAAAATTGCAGACGAAATATTAGCATAAATAAAAAAAATAACTAAAAATTAAAATTCAAGGAGAAAACAGCGGATTTTGGCCTTGAAATTGACGTCCATTGAGTATAGCTGGGTGACCACGACGTGCGCGCCGAAAAGAGATTTTCGAATTGGGATTATAATTGCGATTCTAATAGCCGTAGCCAAATTTATGACTAAATTACAAAAAAGTGTCAAAATTGTCCCAATTAAAGAAGGTATTGCAATCACTTTCCATTTTTGCGTCGATTCGCCATCTCATGGTATCTCAATGCCATCAACGTGCTATCTGACATCTCGACCTCACTTGATTTAGAACCTCCTGCATCAATTAGGCAGACCCTACGACTTCTGTAAGTATAAAGTCGATAAGTTATTTATGTTATTGCCTAAATAGTTTGAAATTTGTAGCAGTACTCCATTGAAGAACAACATATGCAAGTGATAAATCAGCTTATCTTGCACAAAGAAGATTGGAATATCAAGTGAGAAAAAAAAAATCTAAATTACTTTCTTTGGACTAAAGCTACTATAAATTTGAGATTTGCTGCTTTCATAGATGTCGTGCGAAGGGACAAAGCTAATGGATGCCTATTCCATGTAATCAGTCAATAGCTAAGTTTTTAAAACCTAACCTTTGTTTCACCAGCAGTAGCTGCAACTGAATAAGCAACCTCCATTTCTTTGTCATTTTCAAGGAATGCAGCACGCTGCAAGACAATTTTATTCTGGTATACTTAGAAAGACACCAAAGCAATGATATCACTTGCACCAAACAATAATTACAGTAAGGTTCAAGAATAATTGACCTCTGAAGGACCCATTTTTGCAGTGGACTTAAAGAATCTATCCAGGAACAATCCTTCAACTGAAAACAATAAGCAAAAATGTGTGAATTAAAACCCTGATACTATATATTCAGAAGGGACCTTAATAATTGCTTATATTATTTGAAGATACAAAACAGAAACTGTAAGCATGCATGAAAGAAGTAGAATCTAAACATCAGCTAAAAGAACTCTATCAAATGCAATCCTATCCCTAGCCTGTTTAACTTCTTCAATCTCGCTTTCTAAACCACGTTCAATAACTAATCCTGCCTCATTTTTATCGTTTTTTCCTTTCCGTATATAAAAGTTTATATCTTCGTATTTCCTAATTTCTTCATCATTTCTCTTACCCATTTGATCCATTTTTCACTCAATAAATCAAAACCCTACCATCAGTCATTATTAATATCAAAAGCTCCCCAAAAAGAAATATTTTCCAAGCAAGCTGTGATAAGAGATCACAAACTATCTATTGAAGAAATGGAAACATCATCAGCATGACATCAATTACCAACTTAATAAAAAATTATTATAAAGTACCAAAACGCTTACCAAGTTTAATCTCAAAAGTGATATTCCCAACAGCATGAAGAAGCCTAATGGTTACACAGGCATTGCCAACAGTTTGGTTCATAAAGTAAACTCGTCCACTAGGCTCCTGTAGGCAAACTATCATGAATAATGAATAGTTGCAATTAAATTTATAAAATGAAGTGAAGGGCCAATTGTTCAACCAGAAGGTCGGAAACAAAGAAAAGAAGAGGGACATAGAATATGAAAAAATAAAAAACCAAAAGGAAACCTAATAAAAAATCCGATTCACAGTTATTGAGTCACATTATGTGAGAATTCACCAGAAAATCATTAATTATTGAGATTAACTTTCATTTGCATATATTACGAGTTAGCTGAAATGAGAAATCCCAAATCCTGTAGTGACATCAATGATAAGCTGGAGATTTTTGGCTTCTTGATTGCTGGAATATATTATCTGATTTGTAAATTCATGTCATGCAAAAATAGAGAACCACGAGTGTGTCCGCAAGCACACACAAGGAAAATTACATTGTTATGATCAAGTATATACACTTTAGATAAAAGTTCTCCAACAAATATAAGGGCAGAATTTCTTTATTCTATTTGACATTCAATGGTTAGGAGCCACCTTGGCACAACACAAGAATCATACCAGAAATAAAACGGAAAATCGGAAACAATTGGTAGAAGTCCAATCATTATAGGATACTACAGTGAAAAGAAAACCAAAAGTTTAGATATAGTATCTGAAGTCCCTTTTAGTTTTAAGTGTAATGTTGATTTTCATTAAAAAGTAAACATGCACATGGAAAAAAAATATATATATATACACACAAGGGCAAACACTAGGTATGAAGACCTCGAAACCTCGAAAATGTACATATTGATATCATGAAACCGTAATAAAAAACAATTAATGAACATCGGATCAAAGATGATCAAGATTAGCAGATGACAAGAAAATAAGTCCTGCAAACTTTCCATGGTAGTCATATGGTCATCATTGGACGTCTGAAGTTTCTCAATGTAGGAGCATGCTAACCTCATCCAAAATCTGAACACAAATTTTCAAACTATTTGGAACAAATTTTTTGAAATGGAACAAGGATTGGAATGGGCTAGTTACTCCTCTTACCCTAAATGTAAAAGGGGGGGGGGGGGGGGGGAAAAAAAATTTTTCTCCCAAAATAAAAAAAAAAAAAAAAA